GGATCTGGGCTACAGGGTCCAGTTTGGGTTCAGGGTTTCGGGGTTTCAGGATTTCGTTACCAGCTTGGGGTCAGGGTCTAGTTCTTAAGGTGAGCCTTCAAGCTTGGTGGTCGGGGTTCGGGTGCTTTCAGAGTGCTTTGGGCTTGTGTTGTGGGACTCATGATGATGACAGTGCTGGTGCTCTCCGTTCTGTGCACAGGAAACAAAAGGATTCCGCCATGGTTGTGCCGGTACTAATTCCGGGTTCTTGTATTCTTATCTGTCTTTACTTGCTCCGACTCTTCTTAACTCAAGCTTCAGAAGCTCTAAATGTAAAACTGTTGCTCAAAAATAGCAGACGTTCAACTCACTTCCTTCGCGTCATATATACATATATATATATATGTTGCCAGCTAGGGCCTCGAGGCTTCCGTCACAAGGCGTGGAGCTCACAGTTGTGTGGTCCAGCGCCCAAAACAGATCCGAAAGACCACTGGAAAGAAGAATCGCATACACATGTCTGAATCCAAGTAGAGGTCCCCCACGCCCAACCCAACCCACCCCCCCCAAAAAGGCCACATGATCTACCCGAAACCCTAAACCCTAAACCCGAAACCCTAAACCCCACACCCTAGAAAACCCCCCAAAATTACCTGCGGCATCTGGGCTGCCAAGCTGTTGCTGCGCAAGGCGGCTCTTCATGGCTTGCAGCGGGTTCACCCTCGGGTGTGAAGGCTCACTCAATCAGGGCTTGGGGTTTCGGGTTTTGGGCTACCCTCATGACTCGTGACCCGAAACTCTAAACCCTGGCGATCCTTAAGCCCTTCCCACCCCCTCAAACCCTGACATCCTAAATCTGAGCACCCCTAACACTTACTTCAAAACTTAGGTAAGGCCCCCCACATAGATACTCAGATATTCGAGTACCCGAAACCAACAGGCCGGGGTCCAAGGGCCCCGCGGAACGGCCCGGCTCTGCACAGGCCTTTGGGTTAGAACGGCCGCAAAGGTGCCCACAGGGGACAGGGTTTGGGGCTTAGGGGTTTACAGGGAGTACCTGCTAAACCCTTTCGTGGTGGTGATCCGTTTCTTCTGACTTCGCGGGAATTCTTTAGTAGTCCAGTTCCAGTTGCATATGATCATCATGGCCAGGCGAACATGAGTGTTCGCGAGCGTTCGGGAGAATTCGGACATGAGGCGTTTGAGCGCTGTTCGCATGATCGCACGGCATTCGCGCGGCATCGCGAGGCGTTCGGCATGGCATCCGCGTTACTTCGCGATCGGGAGCGACCAAACGCGATCGTATGCGCTGAAAGGCTTTCGGTTCCAGGAATTCGTAAAAATTTGCGATTTAAAGGCACGGGTTTAGCAGGCAGGGATTCATAGGGTTTAGGGTTGAGGTCTAGCATTTATCGCGAAGACATTTAAGTTTGACTCTACTCCCTATATGCACTACGCCATGACCCCTAAACCAGGACAGCACATTCTCCTGCAAAGAGCATGTTTCCCTTCCATCTCGAACTTCCAGAAAGAATGAAGCAGATGCCTCGAGAGCCTCTGCCGACAAGAAATGCCTCCCTAATCACCAGACTCGAACTCCTTGAGCACCCTAAGCCCTAAACCCCTCAACCCTTAAACCCCGAAACTCTGAACTCGAAACCTGGGAAGAAAAGTTAAAGCAAGGTCCAAACCCCCAAAACAGCTCAAACCCTCAAGAAGAGCACCCTCTGCCCTGTAAGTTGTGAAGTATGCAAGGTGTATATGGCTACAGGGCCTTACAGGGTTTATAAGGCTTGTGGGCTTTATCGGGTATAAACTATAGAACAAACCCTAACCTCACAGTGCTGGCGGGCTTGGAGGGATTGAGGGTCTCGGAGCTGCCTCGGGTTCGACTTCCGCGTGCCCTGGGAAGGGGCTGAGGTGGCGCTCTTCTCCTCAGGCTCAGGCTTTGCCATTTAGGGCTAAGAGGGGGCGTGTAAAAGGGGCTAGTGTTTGGGTGTTCGTTTTTCGGGGGGCTGGCGTGTCTAGGGTTCAGGCTTACAGTGGAACGCACCCCCCCCCCCCCCCAGGAGCAGATTTACCCAGCAGCGGCATGTTCCAACTTTAGTTGTCACTGTTTCCAGGGCCCCCTGTGATGCGCAAGGTCGTACATGATGTTCCAAGTTTGCTTTGTCTAGAAAAGTCAAGCTTTGAATTCCGCATCGGCCAAGGAAAGAACTGCAACGCATCAAGTTTGGATCGGACCTCCACGGCAACTGCAACTTGAAGACACATCCCGGGCGCGCACCCCTCCCCCACACGATCAACTCGACGACACGCACGAATGCTTGCAAAGGGTTCAGGACTCTCCTGTCCTCCCAATGCGAAAACCACGATGACAGGGACGGGTGCTTGCAAAGGTTCAGGGTTCTTTTCATTTTGACGGGGCATCCCGGGAGCCTACCAGGACGTTGCAAAGAAACGCAGAATAGACTGGCAACTTAGTTCGGCAACTTTCCTGGGGCACTGTGGCACCACCACGCCTTCCTAGTTCCGACCAGGCTTGCGCCAGCATTGCTGCGTCCAACTCCGCAGCAGCGGACTCTGCAGGCCTGGAAGCTGGTCCAAGTCGATCATGATCAGGCTCTCCACGGAGCTTTTGACTTGCTGTGTGGCTCGGGAATAACCATCGTCGCGTTTGCCCTGGTCCCGGCTGCCGTTGCCCAGCGTCGGCGCCTGCACGCCAAGTTCCAGGCGTAGCTGCTAAGCCAAGCGCGACCCGACGGTACCATTTTGCCATCCTTCATGGCCATGACCGCCACGCCCTGGCACACAAACTTTTGACCTTTCACCATAGGGGCTGGAGGGGTTCAGGGTCCTTAGGATTTGTAGGGTTTGCTGCGTAGCAAGCCCCACCCAAAGGGCAGCTTTGCTCAAGGCCCCCTCCCAGAGCTCAGGGTCGCCCGCTGGCCTAAACCCGACCCCCTTAACCCTGAAAACCCTAAACACTAAACCCTAAACCCTAAACCCTAAACCCTAAACCCTAAACCCTAAACCCTAACCCTAAACCCTTAACCCTAAAAACCCATGAGCCGGACGTCCTGTGAGCAGGTGCCAGTACCCACCGCGGGAGACCTTGAACCCCAAGTAGGGGTTTACTTATGACTAGGGCTATAAGTACCCAACATAGGTTCTAACAAAAGCTACCATACTAGCAACCCTACTTATAAATGCCCATGAACCTCCAGGAGTAAACTCCCCAAAAACCCCTAAACCTCAAACTCCCAAAGCCCCAAACGGAAAGCCGTAAAGACAACGAAAGGCCGTCAAGAACCTGAAGCCCTACAAACCCTACCCAAACTACCCAAGAAAAACCTACCAAACCTGCAAAACGCCCCGACGAACCCTAAACCCTAAACCCTAAACCCTAAACCCTAAAACCCGTTTGGGGCAACCAGGCTCCTGTGGCCCCGCAGCTGCACCAGAGCTCAAACGCGTGCCACGCGAGGGCTCTCCGTCCTCACGCTCCAAAGCTTCCAGGGCGGCTTTTGTTTCGGAGGGAATCGGGGGGGGAGGGGGGGTGGTAGGGTTTATAGGTTTTAGGGTTTTGGCTTTGGGGTGTAAGGATTAACCCAGTGGGATCATGGCTCCTCAAGAGGAATCGGCTGCTCAAGACTCCTAAACTGCCGTAAACCCTATAATCCCTACAAACCCTACGAGCCCTCAACCGGCTCCCGAAGCCCTATAACCCATCCCTTTGCAAACCCCAGGAGCCCGTACAGGCCTGGAAGCAGACTCGTGGAGAGGTGCGTGTAGCAGGGAACCCCCCGTGGTGCGTGGAAGCTTTCTCCGCCCCGTAGCCTCAGGAAGAGAGCTGCTCTGCGAACTGATGGATTATCGGATTTTCCTGAGGTGCATTTCCTTTCCAAAAGGCTGAGGGGTTTAGGGCTTTAGGGTTTAGGGGGATCTGGAAAGGCTATTGTAGGGACGTTCACAGTGTCGGCTTTGCAGCGTACGACCAAGCACCACCCCTTTAATCTTGAACCCTTGGCAGCGCCTTGAAGCTCTGAGCCCACCCAACCCACCCTGCACTTTGCCAAATCGCTCAGTTGGCCCGTAACTGTTCCCGGACACTGAAGGCAGGCAAAGTGGCCATTTGCGGCTTCCTTCCTTGGTGCTTGCTTGAGCGAGCAGCAAACCACCGAAGCCCCCAAAGAATCTCAAAGCCCTGAGTCCTCATTCAGATCACTGTCAAAGTCAGCCCTATAAACCCTGAACGAGACATGCCCGATTTACAACCACCAAAACAGCACATTGTGTGACTGAACCTCCCAAACCCGAAACCCTAAACCCTAAACCCTAAACGCTAAACCCTAAACCCTAAACCCTAAACCCGAAACCCTAAACCCAAACCCCCCAAACCGTGATCCACTAAACCAGCCCAGCTTCGGGGGTCGGGGCGGAAATGGAGGTCGGCTGTGGCCTTGCCTTCGACGCCAGAAGTGCTGGAGCGCCCGGGCGGCCTGTTCTTTCTTTATGGGGGTTTGGGGTTTATAGGGGTTAGGCGTTTACAGGGGTTAGGGTTTACAGGGGTTAGGGTCTATAGGGGTTAGGGTTTATAGGGGTTAGGGTTTATAGAGGTTGGGCTTACAGGGGTCTAAGGGATGATGGGAGGATAAGATGTGGGGTGTTTGGGGTGCATGGGCGTATACAAGGGTTTAGGGTTTTGGGGATGATGGGAGGATAAGATGTGATGCAATCTTCGGCGACAAATTAAGGCAACGCCTGAGGCACTTGCTTTGATGTGAGGATGACCCTGTAGTCCCCAACCTATCCATGTCCTTACGCTGCATGACGCGACGCGGTGTAATCAGCAAAGTGCAAAAAAAAACCTGAAACTGCACAGCCTCACACAAAAGAGCCCCAACGGCGCCGAACCCAAAAAGCCCTACAAAGCTGTAACGCCAGAAGCTCTGTAGGGTTTCCGAGCGCTTGCTGCGCTGTTGCGGCCTCGTGGGCCACGTTCCCGCAAAGGGCGGAGATCAGCGTCCGCTTGGGGTCTCTGCTCCTTGGATGCTTCGGGCTGGGAGGTCGAGGGGTCTATACAGGGAATTGACAATTTCAAGGGTTTTTCGGGGGCAGAGGCTCAATTTCAGGGGTTTGGAGGCTAGGGTTTTTTGGGTTAGGGTTCCCCAACTCAACCTCAGATACTGAATCCTCCAAGTCACTGAGCACTGAAAGCCCTGCTCAGCCCTACGAAGCTCTACACACTTGCGCCGAAGGATCCAGGTTGGCAGCCCCGCCGCTGTGAAGATGAGGGCGGCCACAAAGTCCTCCCCGCCACACCTGGAGGGTTAAGGGGCTTCACAGTTTGACAGGGCTTCGGGAAGGTTGTTGTTTTGGGGGGCCAGAGTAGCTAACATACCGGGCTTTCGTCGCACCAAGCCCTCACGAACTTTTGAGCCTTTGGTTCTTTCAGGGATCTTACTCTCCAGCCCTTCCTCAGAATCGACTGTGCATGTTGGCAATGTCGGGCCTGGCCAAAGTCCGGCTGGACTTCCAGAGGCCCGGGTTCTTCGATGCCAGGGAGGCGATGGAGGCACACATGGAACCGGCGGTCGCACAGGGCACCGTACGCCTCAAGGGCATGGAGGCCCGGCTCTTCTCCGGGGGCCCAGGGCCATCATCCACAGCGCCTGCAGGCTTGCAGACGTGCCTCTGCCCCTTCTGTGGCTCCTCGCCGCAGTTCGGGCAAACGATGCGCATCATGGGCGAACGCCGGCCATGTGCAAAGTCTTGCAAACCACTATGTCACTATGTGCTTACTCGTGTACTGGATGGTCTCACATCAAGAACATGCTAAACAGTTGCAAAGCCTCAGGTGCTTTGCTGTGCGTCAAACGTGACACTGCGCTCCCTGGTGCGTGGGCAACCTGCTGACGGCATAGGACTTTCTGTTCACTCGCAGCTTGAGCCTAAAGTCGCCGTGAGCCCAAACAGACACATCCTCAAACGGCTTGTTGACGCGTCACTTGACGGCCTACACCTCAACTCTTTGCGTGCAGGGCTTACAGGGCTTGCGGGGCTTGCAGGCGCAAGGACAGAACAGCCATAGCAAGCTATCAGAAAATGCTTCAGAAGGCCCGACATATATCCCCCACCGAAGATGTGGTCTGCGAATGAAGCCTGGAAATAAGAAGCCCTGAGCCCATGGCCGTCTACAAACTTCCACGGTACCCTATCCTGACGAAAGCACGTTCTTTCACAAGACTCCCAACCATCTAACAACCCTCCATCTCACCCTATCCTTTCTGGAACCTCATTACTGCACCCTGAAGGTTCTGGTAACCTATAGCAGTGGCTGTTAGGTCCCTGGAAGTATACAAAGACATCAGATCCACGCGACTTTGTCTTATGCTGCTTCTTGCGTCTGGGTGTAGGTCCTCCCGCGGCTGGCAGCGTGCCGCCAGGCGCCATTGACGGCCTCTCTTTTCGCGCACGCCGCTGCGCTCAGCTTTTGATCTGACTCTATACTTACTACACTTCTAGGGACGTACAAGTCCCTGGAAGTATATTTAGAGTGAATTCGAAGGTATGGGTCTACCTCAATCATCCTCATCCTAGCTTCAGCCCGCGATTTTCAGTGCCTGCACCCGAACCCCGAACCAAGAATGGACTGCTGGGCTGTTGTCTTGTTAACAGAATGCAGGGGCCCAGATAATGCGGAGCTTTAGCGACTTCAGCACGTTAATCACACAACACACCCACCTCTCAACCCTAAAGCTTTAGTCCTGGAGTTGGTCAGTCTCCACGGATGTGAGAACTCAGCTCAGGGTTAGGCTCCGAGCAGGGGTTGAAGGCAAGTTTTTGGGTCCCTCCGGGATGCGGACTTGGGTCAAAACTTTCGCCAAAATCTGTTTCGCACTCCTGTTCGCGCATCTTCCACGGACGCTCACATGTCATGGACAATGTGGACTCCTTACCTTGAAGCCTAAACCCTTCACCCCAAACCCTAAACCCTAAACCCTAAATCAGTCAGCAGTTAAGCTAAGTGCACCTCCACCCACTGCATGGCCCGGCGCTCCGACACGCAGCGGAAGCGCGAGGGTTCCGCCAGGCTGACCTTTCGAGAACGTTTAGGGTTTAGGGTTTAGGGTTTAGGGTTTAGGGTTTAGGGTTTAGGGTTTAGGGCTCTAAATCCTCGTGCGCACTCGGGTTTCCGGCATGTCGGGTTTAGGCGCTTCATTCTGGGCACGAAAGCTTTAATGGCATGGTTGAGTTTGTCTCCCAGGTCGCGTTGTAGACTACGCTTCAGGGTCCCCACCCCGCCCACCCACCCCCCCCCAAAAAAAAAAAAAAAGACAACGCTCTCAGACACCGATGCCCTCGCCTGGAAGGACCTGGGGCACGTCTTCAGGAGCGCCGCCGGTTCGGTCATGGCGCTCAGCGAGTACCTCCGGAGTCATGGCGGCATTCAGGCGAGGACAGGCCAATGACTAGCAAAGCATGGTGTCAGCTATTTAAGAACCCGAAGAACCTGAAGACACCCCAAGAACCCTAAGAACCCCAAGAACCCGAAGAACCCTAAGAACCCTAAGTCCTAAACCCTGCTTGTAGGGGGGCTGCCAGAGGCTTTGGCCAAGCCTTATGAGACAAGGCCCCCCGCGTTGGCTGAAAGAGAGCAGCTGCTTCAAACCAAGCACACCCCCGCAAACCCTTGCACCTCGGAGGCTCCAAAAAAACGTCAAAGACCCCACAAACACATCCCGAAGAGAAACGCCAGAGGGCAAGCCGGGCGATTTGCTGCTTCGGTTTCGGGCCACCGAAGCCTCCCAACCCCTAGTCATAGGGTTTAGGGTTTAGGGTTTAGGGTTTAGGGATAGTCCCTGAAACCTGAGGAGAGCACGAAGCCAACAACTTCTGGGAGGCCGGACTCGTTGAGCAGGCTTTGCGACGTGCGGCTGCGCAGCACTCGGAGCCTAGCGGTACGACAGGAGGCATTAGTAGAAAAACAAATTAAAATATCCTACTAGAGGAGTCATTACTATACTCCCTTTAGAACCTTAATAGAAAACAATGTCCTCTTGGGTTTTATATAAACAAAACTGGAAATAATTCCCCAGGAGGATATAGATTGAGGCCTGCAAGCCCTGAAGCGACGCTGCTTTTCGTTGAGGGGAACGGGCCATAGGTGGGTTTACGTATGGGGGTTGTGTTTTGTGATCCCAACTCATGCAGCTGGTGCTTGATCCCAATTCCTGGGAAAAGCTGCTCGCGTATGTGCTGGAGCAACATTCCTCAGGGAAGTGCGTTATTGGGAAAGAGGATCATGGAGGACAAGGGAAAGCCAATACAAAACACATGGTCTCCGAATCTTAGGGGTCCTGTCAAGGCGGGATTTCTAGCACACTTGAGGGTCTGCGGGAACCCCACTGCAAGCTGAAAAACCCTATTCTAAACGCCAGAAAAGATGCTGGAGAGCATCGAGCCGACATGGGGAGCAATGAGGGGATTTAGGGTTTAGGGTTTAGGGTTTGGGGAGCACTCACCCGAATCATAAGCCCCCACCCACTCAGCTGCGAGCTTTCCCGAGCGAATCTCGACAAACACCTTCGAGCAGGTGGTCTTGGGAATCGTTCGTCCATGCATTGAAATGGGTTTGCTATAGGACTTTGTGTTTTTTTCAAGGAGGGCGGGGGAGGGGCTTTGGGGCACGCAGGTCCCGGCGCAAACATTGCACCACACATTCAGGGAGCACCGCTGGTGGAGCATTGTCTTCTCACCTACCTGAGCGCGGCTCTCACGCCAGTCAAAAGTGCCCCGGTATTGCGCGACTGACCCAGACAGGCCAGTCCAACTCTCTCCAAAATCCTCGAGCGCACTCCCGAATGTTGATGTGAACTGGGATGTTTTAACATGTAGCTTTATTTGATGGACAATTCTCACCCTTATGTAGTAGTTGAGGCCTCACAATTCTGCCGCCGGATTTCACAGAGCCGCAGACGGTGACCTCAAACTCTCTGGCGAGCCTTCTCGAATTCGCCGCCCTCAGCGGGGCGCTCGAGGTAGCCCTCCCAGTTGTAGTCCTGCAATTTGGGCGAATCTCTCCACGGTTATCCATCCCCTGGCCTCCCTTCCCATGAACTTCAACCCCCCAAGCCTATACAGTAACAAGACGGCCACACAATGTTACATCATTGATGATATGCAGTTCTCACATTTATGAGGAACCCCATACCAAACCCTACCCTAAACCCTAAACCCCCTGGAATGCTATAAACCCCCTAGACACTGCTAACACTATAGGGTTCAAGAAGAGGGCTTAAGGGCCCAGAAACCCTAAAACCCACAAACCCTGTGAACCGTTCAGGGTTGAAGAAAAGGGTTCTCGATGGCCCTAAACCCCAAACCCTTACACTCTAAACCCTATAAACCCTATAAACTCCATAACCCTGTTAACCCTAGCTAGAGGTCCTTATACTCACAACCCTTAATAGGGATTATAGTACCCCCTACTATCATTCCTATAGAGGGGTGTTAGTATAAGGGGGAACATCCCAACCTTAAACCCTAAACCCTAAACCCTAAACCCGGAACCCTAAACCCTATACCCTATACCCCTAAACCCTACCTAGAGTTCAAGAAGAGGGTTCAAAGGTGGATGGCCCGGGCTCCTCGTCTTCTGAAGCCACGCTCCGAGGAGACTCGGCCGCCACCCTTCGACAGGAATCGCGGATGGCGTTTAGGGTTTAGGGCCTAGGGTTTAGGGCTCAGGGCTTGTAACTTCGGGTTTAGGGGCGTCGGTCTGGAGAAGGATTCTCCCATCTGTGATCAGAGTCTGTGGATGTCGTTTCGCCTGCCGTAGACTTGTGATTTGCCAGAGGCCAGCTGAGTGAGTGAGCGAGTATCGACCTGGGGCGCCCTCCGGCCTACGGAAACGGTCCCTCTCACCTTCTTTGCCCCTCCGCATGCGTCCTCGGCGCTCCAGCACAGAGTTCAACGCTCGGGGCCCCTCAATCCGAACGGGGGGATTACAGGGCAGAGATGGGGCATGGGGGCAGGGTGGTCGAACCAATCACGCACACATGCACCGACAGCAAGACTGACGGCCCTTACTGCAGTTCCGAATACTAAGCCCTGTGTCTTGCCCAAGGTAGGTGTTCCCTGAAGCCCTAAACCGTATGAGCCCTCATCCGTAAAACCCTACACAACCCGAAGCCCCAAACCCCAAACCCTAAACCCTAAACCCTGAACCCCAAACCCTAAACCCTAAACCCTAATTAAACCCTAAACCCTAAACCTCACACCCTAATCCCAAGAAACACACATCCTGAGCCTGGCCTCAGGGCCGAGATCTCTCGAGGGCCCTGGCCCAGGGCAGTCAGGTTCATCTCTGGGCATGGGGGGTCCTCCCTGAACCCTATAGGGGCCTCAATAATTAATATAGGGTTTTGGGGGTAGTTTCAATCGGGTTTGGGGGTTCACTCACTCACTCACTGATACGCAGCTCCGGGCCGAGCGTTTTGTGGGTTAATATAGTATACTGATCAAGGGACCGTGAGTAAGTAATCGAAGCTGTCTGGGTCTTGTTCAGGGTGGTCACTATGGGATCCTCTGCTACCCCTTATGGGAGTCGGAGGCGATGTGGGCCTTTTTGGGGGCCTACCTGGAGGGGGTAGTTGTCTTATTGCATCCCGTTACACCCAGGTTTTTTGGGTTCAGACAAGGGCTCACGGAACCCTAAACCGCAAACCCTAAACCCTAAACCCTAAACCCTTTCCATTGGCTAGGCCTATTCGCGCAGGTTGGGGAAGAGGGTTTAGCTTGACCTGAGCAGTAGTTTTCATCTCCTTGCTTGTGCGAGGAGTGTGCAGAACTGAAGAACCTAGATGACTGCCGCCTGAGGGCGTATGACAGCGCAAGTTATTCTGGAGCTGCAAGCAGTGGAATGCCACCCGTTGACCCTTGCACCAGCACAAGAGTTTAGAAAGCACGTCTGCATGTGCAATCAGCTCCCACATTCAGTAGTCGGCGGGAAGTAACAGCTCTCAAAACCAAAAAGCCGAAAAACCCGATAGACCCTATAAACCCTATTAGGCCCAAAATCAGCCCGAAAAGCCCTATACTCTATTCACCCGAAAATCTTCAGAAGCGGAAAAAAATCTGCCCGCCTCAGCCACGGCTTTTATCCCGACAGCCGGGGCCATCGACTTCTCTGTGGAGCTGTAGCGTTCCAGCCTCAACAGTGGGAGCCAAACCCTCAGTCAGGGCTTGGGGGATGGGGTTCCGGGGACCCCTATAACCTCGAGCCTGCAAAAAAGCCAAGTCGCCGATTCAAAACTCCCAGCAGCATAGCTTCATACTCGGTCATTTCAGACTGTCGTTCGCTGCTTCCAGCTTTGCCGGTCCGTTACATCCTCGGTCGGGCCCCCTTTCCCGACAGCATGTGCTACAACATCCTAAACCCTAAACCCTAAACCCTAAACCCTAAACCCTAAACCCTAAACCCTATAAACCCTAAACCCTAACCTAAGCCCTTAACCCTCCTTGATGCTGACCTTCTGAGATCCCGGGCAGCGCGCGGCGCCGGTCGTGGAGCTCCCGCTCGAAGTCCATCTGCTCCGTGAGGGCTTGCACCTGCGGTTTGGGGTTTGGGGTTTGGGGTTTGGGGTTTAGGGGAGGGTTTAGGGTTTAGGGTTTAGGGTTTAGGGTTTAGGGTTTAGGGTTTAGGGTTTAGGGTTTAGGGTTTAGGGTTTAGGGTTTAGGGTTTAGGGTTTAGGGTAGCTTGGGGCTTAGGGTGTTTTTGTTCCAGGTTTGGGGTTGATAGCCTGCGTGCTCCTGTGGCTTCCTAGTGCCTATAGCTATGAGGTCGTAGTATGTCGAATTTAGGCTGGCTCAATCACTCTGTGGGCTAATCCGCCGCGACCTCGAGCTTTGTGTTCCCAAAATAGGGGCCTTAGTAAGTAGAGGAGGGTTTTGGGGGATTGTTACAGTGCTTTGTTTAGAGGGACCATGAGGGAGAATTCTTGTGCCTGGAGTGGGGACCCAGTTGGGCGGGGAAACCGGTACTCTCGGGCTTGTTGATTTTCCATGGCTGTTCCGGGTCGAGAACCCCACATGCCTATTCCGAACCCGCTTGTCATAAGCAGGGGCCTGCTCTCTGAGCGGCGTGTGGTTGACGGACTCCAGGCCATCGCGGACGGAGCCGTTCTCGCTCTTGAAACCTGGGCCCAATTTTGTGCTTTGCAAGGGTTCAACGGGTGCTATAGGGTGTGGGTTTAGGCTTTAGGGCTTCAAATTTTAGGCTTCAAAGGGCTTGGAGTTCAAAAGGTGGGGTTCAAAGCTTTTGGCGTTGACACAGACTTGGAGTCAGTCTGCTCCATAAGCAGTGAAAGAAGGCTCATGCTATTCAACCGCGCCTCATGGGACTTAATGATAATAATCATCAGGCTTGGAAAGCACTTCATTTACCAATGGTACGTACTATACTCAGCAACGATTCTCAGCCATTTGGGAGCCCAAAATCCCTAAGCTTGCAAGCCCTAGAGGCCAAGCTCAACTGGATGTCTCCGATGGCGAGAAAGAAACCCCTAAACTGTGCAAGTCAAAGCACTTTACAGACATGTGTCACCAGACAGGAACTGCAACCGACAGTAGCTTGCAAACTCCTGTGTATGGCGAGAAAGAACCCCTACATGCAACCCGGAACCTTACAAAATGGCAGCTACCTTAATCTCTCGTTTCTAAGCCTCGCAACTCAATTGCAGAGCAATAGGGTGTTACCCTCAAAATGAACAAACATGCGTGTGTAATTGCGGGGAGTCGGGCAAACCATAAACTCTGAAGCCTGAGCCTTCAACCCTCTCCCAACGCTGGGCATGCTGCAGGGTGTACTCGCCGCCTGCGCGCGTACCTCCCGGAGCTCCTGTTGCAGAAAACCAAAACCTTGCTTTTTGTAGGCTCTCTGTCGAATAATTATCTACCTTCTAACAGGAGCCTTGGGCAACCCAAAGATGTAGGCTTCGCAACGTGAGTTAAACGACACGCCCCAGGGTTGATGAATCATTGGCTTGCCCGACAGTTTTGGGGAGCCAACATGCCTTACGCACGACCCTAAACCCCCCTTAAAGCTTTGGAAACAGCTAGGGCTTGGGGGCTGACCATAAGAGCCCTGAATGGTTCATATGAGGCCAGAGAACCATGATGCGGGTGGAAATAGACTCTTGTTTGCACTTCATGGAGTCTCTGTTATTGATTTCCTGACATTGTATATTGATGATATTTGCTGTCCTCCCCCCCAAAAAAAACAAACAAAAAAACAAAATAGTTTTTGGTGGTGAGTTAGTGGCTCAAGTTCGGGGATACTGGGGGTGAGGGTGCAGACTGCAAGAGGACACTTATTTGGCACTGTTAGGAGCATTTTTTCGATGTTATGACGAATGCTGTGTCGCATCTGCTTATTTCTTTATCTATTTATTTATATTGTCTATCGGAGACCCTCATGTAAAGCAACCTCCGCATGCAACTCCGACAGTTGCTGCCCCAGTGGCTGCTTCCAGGCGCGCCACCGCGTCGCAGCACCGGCGCTCGATGAGCGCGCAGCGCACCTGGCCAAAGGTTCGAGGGGTTTAGGGTCTGGGGCTTGGTTTCACCGCTCCGAAACTCCGAAAGGAATCAAGGCTTCCAGGGACATGCGAGCTGTGCCCTTAAGGGCTCTGCAACCGAACTATGGGTGCCTGGAAGTGTAAGGCAACCTTTCTGATTCTGATTCTAATGTGTATATGATAGACCCCTGGTCCCCGAAACTCTTTAAGCCCTCCGCAAAACGTGTATTCCTACAGACTTACGTGGGTATCGTGTAGAGAGTGTCGGGTTTAGGGGGCCGATGCAAATAATTTGCATGGGGATTCGAAGGGGTGAGAAGGGGGGGGGAACCTGAACCCACCTCAACGGGCCCCTCAAGCCCAAACGCTCAACAACACCCTAAGCCCTAAACCCTGAACCCTAAGCCCTAAGCCCTAAACCCTGAAGCCCGAAGCCTGAACCCTAACCCCAAACCCCAAAAAACCTCAACCCTGCACCCTTCTTAGGGTCGATCGAGGCTAATTGGGCGCCAGGAGCCCCTGTTGCCTCCGTCAACTCGCGGCTGCGGGCCTCCTTCTGTTGAAGTCTGGGGGGGCTTGGGGGGGTTTAGGGTTTGGGGTGTCGGGTTCAGGGTTTAGGGTTTAGGGTTTACGGTTTAGGGTTTTAGGTGGGGTTTAGCGGGGTTTTCGGGGGCTTAGGGCGGGGTGTAGGGGATTTAGGGGTTTTTTGGGCTTAGGTTTTTTGGGTTTGGGGGTTTGGGGGGGGTTTTGGGTTTAGGGGTTTGTTTGGGGGTTTTGGGTTTAAGGGTTTTGGGTTTAAGGGTTTCGGGTTTTAGGGGGTGTAAGGGCTTAGGACTTAAACTTATAAGATGGCGAAATGAGATTTGGGTTGGGCGGGTAGGTTTAGGTTTCCCGGGAAGCTGTTCAGGGCAGCTCACACAGCCCGCCAAAGAAGCAATCCGAATTATCCAAGTTGCTGGTTTGGGGTCTGCCAAGATAATATCTTAACAATACACCCCCACCCTAAACCCTAAACCCTGAACCTGAAGCTACACTGGAACCCAAAGATGTGCCGGCCCAGAAAAGGCGGCACTAGAAGGCCCCAGGCCTGCACCGAAGACTGGCATCCTACTCTGAGCATCCAGTCTCCAGAGCATCACCTCAGAAGCCTCAAAACCCTAAACCCCAAACCCCAAACCATAAACCCTAAGCCCTAAACCCTAAACCCTAAACTCTAAACCCTAAACCCTATTCGTGCCGGGCCTGGGCACGGGAGGCTTCAGCTGCATGCAGCCGGCTACTCAGGGACGCCTCGTCTTCGTCCTCGGACCTCTGCAAGTTGCTGGGGGCTTCAGGGGTTTTATAGGGCTTAGGGCTTCTGGGGTCTCTAGGGTCTTTAGTATCATAGACACTAAGCCCTACAACGCGTTGAAAGGGTTTCCAGGGCTTTCGAGGGAGCCAAGGTGGGATTTTGGATTGCTGAACTCCCCCGTCTCCTCCCCTTCCCTACCTCCGGCTCCCTTCCCCTTCCCCTCCTGGGGCGTCGGGTTTTACTACGAAGCTTGCATCAAGAATCAAGTTAAGCCCAGCTGGACATCGAAGACTGAGAATGTATATCTACGAACATTTTTTCGCGACCAAAGGTGCTTTGAGGAGTGATTCTTTTGTACGATCTCCCAGATCAAAGCAGGCATCCCTTCGGTAGTCGCTAGGAGTGCTCAGGGAGACCAAGACTCCAACACTCCCCCAGAAGATCATGGCCTACATGTGCCAACTATTTGGAGGCTATAGCCACTATAGGCCATGATTCTGGGTCCTTTTATGGCGTCCAGGCAAGTCCCTAAACTTTACACGCTATACACCTTATAAACTCTACAAACTCTATTAACTCTACATGCTCCATAGGCCCTGTAAACCCTACAAACCTTATACCCGATAAACCCTACCTCCTGAATCCTATAAACCCGATGAAAAACCTAAAAGCCCTGAACTCCTAACACCCTATAAGCCCTGTAAATCCCTACAAACACTGTAATCTCTGTACACCCTGCAAGACCCTATCACCCCTCTAATCCCTGCAAACCCTGTAAAGCCCCTTGAAACCCCAGAAAACCCCTATGAACAACCCATAAAGCCCTCGTGAACCTCCTGAAACCCGACACGGGTTTAGGGGTTTAGGGGTTTAGGCTAGGGTTAGGGGTTTAGGGTTTAGGGGTTTAGGGGTTTAGGGTTTAGGGGTTTAGGGGTTTAGGGGTTTAGGGGTTTGGGGGTTTAGGGGTTTAGGGTTTTACGGGTTTAGGGGTTTAGGGGTTTATGAACCCTCACATCGCTTCCGAGGTCGCAGCCGGCGCTCCGACAGCACGGAGGCGGAGGCCTCCTCCAGGGCCGTCTCCTGAGGCAGAGGCTTCCTTCGGGCTCCGAAAGAACCCAAGAGCTAGAGTCCCTGAGCCGTTGTCAGGGCCAAAAGTGCATCCTAAAGTCCGAACTCCCGAAGGCCCAATCATGCCACCAACCCGACAACCTGAAATTAAGACCCCCTAAGCCCTATACAGCCTAAACCCACAAACCCGCAACCTTTATTGCTTCACGAGTGTCCAGCTTTCTTTGGAGATCCTGGGTCTCCATCTTCTCCTCTGCACTGCGTGGATGCTGGTGGTTTAGGGTTCAGGGATTACAGGGGTCGCCCGATGAGGACTCAGGAAGCTTCTTCGCCGCAGCATGCCTGCCACCCGAGAAGCCACGGTGATCCGTGGAAAACGTGGAACGAGAATTTTGCTGAGACTACACAGCCGGAGCATAGCCGATTCCTTTGACTCGTTGACAACTCCTATTGCACACTCACGAACCAATGTTTGGAACCTCGTGGTGGGATCATCTCAAAATCTCTAAGCTCTAAACCTCACACCCTGAACCGTAGATAAACTTCAAAGGTAACTCCTTGGCTTCGGACTGTATGTCCTGAACTACTCGCCTCGGCCCCCAATATGTATTATATGAACTTGTATATTGCATATTCAATATGATAAACTAACAACTATATGAATTGCAATATAGACAGCAAATGTCGGAATTGTCGTGACCCCAAAAGAATCGGAAGGTTCGGGGCGGGCCGCTGGGTTCAGGGTTCATCGGATTTCTAGGGTTTACAGGGCTTACCGGGTTTAGGGTGACTAGACGTGGAAGGAACGCGCTTCAAGCGGAGTTGGGCTGACCCTTGCTGCCGACAATCCGAATGCTTGACATCCCGTCAGAGTTCGGGACATTCCTGGTGCTCGGGCCTCCTCTTGAGGACCCCTACCGTGGTACAAACCCTGATATAACCCTTAACGGTAAACCCTAAACCCTAAACAAACCCTAAAACCATAAAACCTTTAACCCTAAACCCTAAATAAACCCTTAACTAAACAAACCCTAAAACCATAAAACCTTTAACCCTAAACCCTAAATAAACCCTAAACCCTAAACCCTAAATAAACCCTTAAACCCTGAACCCTTTAACCCTAAACCTGGGGCAAGGCAGTGCACGCCCGACCTCGCACAGCTGCTTTTGCAACAGGGCCTGGCAGTTCTTGAGGCTTTAGAAATACAATTCCACACGCACATATTTTGTATATGTATACGTAAACTCCCCTCCAAGGATCCCTAAAAACCCACAACAGATTCAGATTCTGAGCCCTCAAACCCGACTGGCCAGACTGGCCATCTGCCCTAAGCTCCAAAACCATAGCCCGAGACCCCAAGCTGCCCTTGGCCAAGGTGACCCAAAACACTCTGGGCGTTTACACGTAAGACGTGTTGAAGTCCATCTGGAACTGTGAGCCCGCATCTCAGGCTAGGGGTTTCGGGGTTCAGGGCTTCGGGTTTCGCGTGTAGGGTCAGGAGGGTGCTGTACATCTGGGAATCCAAGAAGTTGTGACATGCAGTCCTTGAAAGTGGGATCCCAAGACCCAAAAGTGCCCAAACCATGACCTTCAGCTCCAATATAGGGTGTAGGGAGGGTGTAGTAGGTCACCAATTCCGAGAAGCTGTCAAGACCGAGACTTGAAACCCCATCTGAATTGCGTTCACAGCCACCCGCTCTTGCCGCAGCGTGTTCAGCTCGCTTCGTTGCTCAAAAAGCTCCTCTGACAAGAGCCGTGCAGTTAACGGAGGATACATGCTGCTCTCAACTAAAGGAACATATAGAGTACCACTACAAAGGCGAGCACAATGCATCTGGGCTTCCTGGCTGGGGAGAATAAAGCCTATGAAGGGAAGCCACACCGGTGTTAAGATCCCTGTGAGCCCTGAACCCTCAACCGTAAATACCATGCCCCATCCCTCTTGGAACAAACACTCTCCATCCCCAAATTCCTTTCCTAGGAGAACTTAAGGATACATAGCAGCGATTCTGCAAATTGGCCCCCTTTGGCAAAAGGGTGACGTCTACTAAGTCTACTTCCCTCAAACCGTCCAAAACCTAACGCAGTCCTGCAGAACCGTTTTCATCTCATATTAAACAAATATGGTGAGTGTTTGCAATTCTACTTCATACTAATATACATATACGTATACATATGTTAATTCAGATTGTAATTCTCATGATAATATATATATATATGTACATATAGATATACACACACATACACCTACCGAAGGTCCTCGAGGCGCGGGCCCAACTGCTCCGAGGCCGCTTGGCGCGCCGCCGCCGCGGCCTCAGGGCCGTCCTCGGAACTGCAAGGGGCTATGAAGGGTTTAGGGTTTAGGGTCTTTAAGTTTAGTTTGAGGGTGTAGGGCTGCAGGGGTTGAGGGTGCCGGGTTTAGTGTTTGGGGCCTGTGCGGTTGAGCGCCACACTACACACTCAGCCGCCTGCTTCTACCTGACCCCACGCCCAAGACTCTGCCGAGTGGCCAGGTCCCTGCCCACAAAGTTCGAGGCCAAGTTGTCGAGATGTTGAGCCATGAGGGCCAAGAGCTCCTTCTAGCCACAAGTGCAGAGGGGGAAATATCACGATTGAGAGAACTGGTACTACCATAGTCGTGACTGTGAGAATTGTTGGCCTTTTGCAGTCTTGGCTGGGCTGCGGCTGGCATGCTGAGTTGGATCTTGAACTGATGATTCCCCAAAGTGCCCGAGCTATCCACGCCAATCCCTGGGGCTCCCAAGACAAGGGCTTACCTCGAGAACCAGCTTTGTGAGGGTTACGTACACTAAACCCTACAGGCTTTGATTTAAGGGGCTGAGGGGGGGGGGGGGTAAACCCTACGTACACCCTAACTTACCCTTTCTGCATGGGCCTGAGGCCGGCAGTTGTAAGCCCCTGAAACCTCGCCTAAGACTTGAATGCTTCAGCCCCTCCACATGATATTTTCCCCACTCGAGAACGCTCGCAGAATTCTGAGAACACTTAGCTAGGATGGCCCTTAAATCCCTCTGAAAAACATTCCTGAATATGATCCTCTTAAACCCAACAAGTAAAAAAAACACATAAAAATGTCCCAAGGGCCTTCCTAGCTAATGTTCGGGGAGTTCGAAACACCATCGGGCCATCCTCGAGCTGCTTGTTCTCGATCAGCAAGCTGTTGATCATGCTCATGTAATCCTGCTCCTGGGCGGCTTAGGGTTTAGGGTTTAGGGCGAAAGGAACGAGAATGTCTGGACCAAGCTCTTACCTGCCGCAGGCCGGCTAGAAAAACCTACAGGCCCTATAAACACCACGAATCCGACAGTCTCTATGAATCTTATACAACTCATTCGAAGCCCTAGAACCCTGGTGAGCCCCAAGAAAAGGCGGAGCGGCGGCATTCTCCAGCAAACGCCGGCACCATGACACCTCGATGGTGGTGTCCTGAGCCCAGGGGGCCATGGGTTTAGGGTTTAGGGTTTAGGGTGTGGGGTTTACGTTTAGGGTTTAGGGTTAAGGGGTCGCCTTTTTGGGGTAGGGTTTAGGGTTTAGGGGTTCAGGGTCTTTAGGGTTCCGGGTTTAGGGTTTAGGGCAGATCCTTCAACCGTCAGAGTCCTACATGGGGCTTAGGGTCCTGTACTGAGGATTATGCTATTTGGAGGTCGATCAGGGGGATCCCGACATGCAGAAATGCCCATATTTTCGCTTGCCACGACTCCCTATCTGGGCTAATGAGCGCAACATGGGAGGTGCCGGCTCCCAGATTTTGCGGGCAGGGTTAGGGCTTGCAGGGATGCTTTGGTACCTGGTGCCTTTACTTCAGGCATGAAGGTGTCGCTTGACAGTCTAACCGAGCCGTCACTAGATAATGCTAGCTCAACTTGGGGTCTTGCTTTGCAGCTCGTCCTGTCCCTTGACAAGGGTTTAGGCTTTCTTCCCCGCCCCTCACATGGATCAAAGTGGCAAAAACATCGAGCCTTAAAGGGTCTTCTTTTACAGTCGTCTTCTTGTACCCTTCGTGTCAACATACGTGAGGAAACAGCTTCTGGAGACCCTCCGAGGCTGCAACCGAAGAGAAAAATGGGGCTCTAGTGCTCTAGCAAGGGATCCTGGAGTGGGATCCTGGCCTCAAGGGGAAGACCCCTGAACAATCAACCCCAAAGCGAAGACTAGAAGGAGGTAGCGGAGCTTCGTCAAGAGAGCATCCCGCTTGCCTACTGTTCTTAGTAGGGTATGACGAAACTTAGCACCTTGTATCCCCCCATATGCACCATTTACAGTTTTACGCAGGGTATCTAATTCTCTCATTCCCTGCTAAGAGCCGGCAAGCATAGAATCCTGACCCCAGAGCCTGAGGAACACTGGCTTTCGGGATTCAACTCTTGGGGTACCCGTATGTAGACTTCAGGAGTTTTCAAGTCGTTGTTCAGAGGGCCTGCCGGGGTTTTATGGGATTTCAGGCAGGGTTTGGGGAAACCCCACAACCAAAAAAAACCTTTTCAGGGATTTTAGGTCCCAACTCAAGGCCTTCTCACCAGCCATGGTTTTGTTGCAGCGGCGCAGGGGTACAAAGCGAACCCGAGAGACGGGGAACCCGAGAGACGGGGGAGGTGGGCCAAAGGCTTCTGGGGTTAAGGGTGTAGGGTATGGGAGGGTTTAGGGCTACTAGGGCTTTGGTGCTTCTAGGGTTTAGGGCTCCTGCTTCCCGACGAGCGAAGCCTTGTTTCAGTGCCTCTGGATTGTTTTGCTATAACCATTGCAAGCCGACGACACCCAAAAACCTAAGACTGTGGTCCTCAGCTGTCCTAGAGCCCTCGAAGCCCTCACTGTCCTAGAGTGACTTATCTGGGGGGTCTGGAACAAGTGCGACTTGCTCACGCAGTGAGCGAGCTTTGTAATTGCGGAGGATCTTCGTTCAAAAACCTGACTTCGAGGCTTATAGGGTTAACGCTCGTTGCGGTTCATGGAGCCCTGTGTTTTCAACAATGCCGCTTGTATGCGCTAAACTCTGCGGGCCAATGCGTGCAAGGGGCGACATGATGGAGAAAGGCCCTTGAAATTTATCCCGCAACCTGCGCAAACCCTATTTAATTATGCGAGGAAGAGCCCAGTCTCGCTGCTTACACCCGCAACCGGAACAGTAACCCTGTAAGCCCTAGACCCCGAACCCCAAACCCTTAGCCAGGTCTATGGAAGGCCCCTCTGCTTATACCTTCAGATTCAATCATCCCGACCTTTGCGTATAACCAGGTGTATGCTCTAGGGTGTAGGATTGAGGGGGACATTCAATTTTGGGGGCCTAGGGGTTTTGACTCTTTCAGAGGACACTGTGCGAGCACGAAAGTCTGGATGAGCGAGCCGAAGCCGTCTCCCGCAGCCAGGGAACCCGAAGGTTAAACCTCCCTAAGCCCCAAACACCCGCAGATCCTTCCTAGATCATGAGGCCCTAAAGACTTTCAAGCTCAGCGGCCGTCTAAGAAATAAGCAAGGAAGGATCAAGTCTGGGACTTTTTCTCAGAGGGCGCGCGTGCGCAGAGGGCGCACATGTGCAGAACCGCGGCACCTGCATAGGGTTTTAGGGGTAAGTATTCGACTTTATATTGAAGCTGCTTGTGTCGGCTTCGGGCCTGACCGAAGATGCCCAGGCCCCATTCCTATCAGCCTGTTTTCTTCAGTCTTTATGGTCTAGTAGAGCCCATGACATGTGACGGGAAATGCGTGTCGCCCTAAACCCAACTACAAGCAAGAAGAGACATCGCTTAAACCCTGAGCCCTTCACCCTGCCGGGAGATAACTGTAAACTGCAAACCCTGTAACCCAACCTTTTGGTGTCCGTAGTTGAAACTTCACATCAACGCCGGCACGAACAACATCGGGGGTTAGGTTTGACTAAGGTGCCGGGGTTTAGGCTTTTCAGGCTTCGGGTGGGGTTTTGGGCATTATTTAACGGACTTATTGGGGTTAGTAAGGGTCGTGGGCTGTATTTAGCTATTCATTGGATTTAGGGAACCCTCAGTTTCGGAACTCTTTTCTTGAAGCACACTGGGATGCTCTAAATCTCTGTGGCGATACAAGATCGAAGCAGGCTTATCACCCTACAAACCCTAAACCTAAGCCTAAACCCTGAAGATATTCTCAAGGAGTCCTCTGGCGACTTGGATGGGAAGTGATTTTAACTGATCTGATCCGCTTGGAGGCTAATCGGTAGTTGCAGTAGGGTTTAGGGTTTAGGTTTTAGGGTTTAGGGTTCCCCAAAACATATCACACGTCACGAAAGATGCTATGCTTCTGGCCCTACTCATAACTAGCCATGAACCTCCAGGCAAGCCCCAGTGCCCTTTGCGCAGAAGCGTCTTTCCGAAGCTGTGACCGCGGTCGCCGAAACATCAGGTGAAACGACCCCGTATGTATAACGCACAAATTCAGGCAAGTTCCTACTCTTACCGTTGATTTGCAGCTCGTGGTTCAGATGTTGACACTGTCGTGCCTGCCAGCATGCAGCGGCAGATAAAAAAGCTCCGAACATAATCAACCAGAACTGTGCTCTAGCAAGGAATACAGTATATATATATATATTATGTATATATATATACATATATATATATATATGTATATGCAGCTGGAAACGTTGCGGAAGCAAATGGCTGCTTTGTGGGCTCCGGTTTCCAGGCAGGCATTCGACCCTAAACTTGCAAACACATCCGAAAGTTCTACAAATCCTAAAAACCCTAACCCTGAACCCTACAAGTGCCTATAACTGTCTATAGCTCTACTACAAGCTGCCTACAACTCCAAGCCCTACCTTTGTCGGTTGCCTAAGAGCCCCATAAGGGCTCTTGATCCCAAGACTGTCAACAGAGTAGGTTTTGGGTTCTGGAAGTACTCTTCGGTTTGCTTCAGGGTCAGTAAGATGAGAATCTACTCCCTTCCACTCTGAAAATACAACCCCAAAACCGTAAACCCTACCTGGTGTGGCATGCTCTACGGCTCAAGGCCTCTATTGTTGATCTTCGGGCGCGGCTTCCAGCGCACCGTTCTTGACCTTGTCCGGCTCCTCGCGCAAAGGGGGCTTCGTGGAATCAGCTGCATCCCCGAAAAGTTCAGGGCCTGATCGCTAAACCCTCCATGAGCCCCAATTCAATAGCGCATAAGACTGAGTTCTGAGTCAGTGGCCGTGTAAACATAGGTAAGCTTTTGGGGAACCCTTCATAAAGCATCCCATTCTCACCAGACGCAGTATAAAAAGGGACCCACTCGCGGGAGGCCTGGCTTCTTTGTGGAGATGCGATGTTGAGCCCTTGTTTTGGGTTGCTGACCATGTGTGTTGTTTTGGGGCGACCCTTCCATCAACAAAGCTCCACCAATTCCCCAAGCCACCCACTTCGCCCCCAAAAAACAAACACGTAGATTAACCATTGGGGCAACTTGAAACCCTTAAGCCCTAAGCCCCAAGGCCCTATACCACAAACACTGCTGGACACCAAAGCTTCTTCGGGGCAGAGGGGACTTCGCACAAAGTTAGTCAGTGAACCATGGCAAGTCCAAGGCGAGCAGGAGGTTGGCAGGGTATAATAGAGGGCTATAAACTGATGGGTCTAAATTGAGGGCTTAGGGTTTAGGATTTCGGGATTAGGGGATATTTGGGGTAGGTGATTATGAATTGGGATTGTGAGGGGATAATATTGGTGGGACTTGTGACGGTGGGGTCTTGATGTCGAGCATGTCAGCTTCAAAGCGCAGGCAGCTACCAGTTACACCATACCTTGCGGGATCCCACTCTGCACCATGATACAACAAGCTTCCTACCCCAACTTCGCCCGCAACTAGCAGGATGTCAAGTGGAGCGTGACCTTCAAAACTCAAGCCCTCGAAGCCTCACACGGCTAGGATCTCAAATGCCCCAAAGAGCTCACGCCCAAAAACCTGCAGCCACCCTCCCCAAAGCCCCCCATTCCTCCCCCTTGAGGGATGGCTCTGGCAGGAGCTTCTCGGCATTGCCTTCTGCCGCTTCTGCCTGAAACGCAGGTTTCGCGGGGGGAGGGAAGATATAGCTCAGGGTTGATGGGCGCAGTTTCTGGAGACCTGGAGCGGGGGGGTCAGGATATCAACCACCGATATCCTACTTCGAAAGCCAAGACTTGCCGAAGCTTGGGAAGAGGCTCATTTTGGCCAGATCATCGGCCAGCGAGTCTCTGCCCGTGCCTTGCCTTCCGAAAGCAAAGCCTGAGCAAATTGAAGAAGGTTCCTCAAAAGGCTGAAAATCTGTACAGGCGGCTTAGCGTGATTCAACCTTAGTAGGCCCGAGCGCGCCAGAAGGCTCTAAGGGTTTATACAGGTGCGCTGGCTGCGCTCCGGTGCCCCAAAAGCTCAGTGCACAGCTTCACTCAATGAAACCGCACATATCAGATCTCACAGCCTGCCCTTGCGTGAACAAGTATACGGACATGTGATATTTGAGACAACTGAAGCGTGTCCGGCAATGACGGTTGATTACCAAGTTGGCACTGCAAGGGACAAAGCTGTGAGCGTTGCGAAGGCCATAGACCTAGCGCAGGCGCAGCACCAGGTGAAGAGTCGACTCCTTTTGGATGTTGTAGTCTGACAGCGTGCGGCCGTCTTCCAACTGCTTGCCTGCGAAGATCAGGCGCTGCTGATCGGGAGGGATCCCCTCCTTATCTTGGATCTTCGCCTTCACGTTGTCGATCGTGTCTGAGGCCTCAACATCCAAGGTGATGGTCTTGCCGGTCAGCGTCTTCACGAAGATTTGCATGCCACCGCGGAGGCGCAGCACCAGGTGAAGAGTCGACTCCTTTTGGATGTTGTAGTCTGACAGCGTGCGGCCGTCTTCCAACTGCTTGCCTGCGAAGATCAGGCGTTGCTGATCGGGAGGGATACCCTCCTTATCTTGGATCTTCGCCTTCACGTTGTCGATCGTGTCTGAGGCCTCAACATCCAAGGTGATGGTCTTGCCGGTCAGCGTCTTCACGAAGATTTGCATGCCACCGCGGAGGCGCAGCACCAGGTGAAGAGTCGACTCCTTTTGGATATTGTAGTCTGACAGCGTGCGGCCGTCTTCCAACTGCTTGCCTGCGAAGATCAGGCGCTGCTGATCGGGAGGGATCCCCTCCTTATCTTGGATCTTCGCCTTCACGTTGTCGATCGTGTCTGAGGCCTCAACATCCAAGGTGATGGTCTTGCCTGTCAGCGTCTTCACGAAGATTTGCATGCCACCGCGGAGGCGCAGCACCAGGTGAAGAGTCGACTCCTTTTGGATGTTGTAGTCTGACAGCGTGCGGCCGTCTTCCAACTGCTTGCCTGCGAAGATCAGGCGCTGCTGATCCGGAGGGATACCCTCCTTATCTTGGATCTTTGCCTTCACGTTGTCGATCGTGTCTGAGGCCTCAACATCCAAGGTGATGGTCTTGCCGGTCAGCGTCTTCACGAAGATTTGCATGCCACCGCGGAGGCGCAGCACCAGGTGAAGAGTCGACTCCTTTTGGATGTTGTAGTCTGACAGCGTGCGGCCGTCTTCCAACTGCTTGCCTGCGAAGATCAGGCGCTGCTGATCGGGAGGGATCCCCTCCTTATCTTGGATCTTCGCCTTCACGTTGTCGATCGTGTCTGAGGCCTCAACATCCAAGGTGATGGTCTTGCCGGTCAGCGTCTTCACGAAGATTTGCATGCCACCGCGGAGGCGCAGCACCAGGTGAAGAGTCGACTCCTTTTGGATGTTGTAGTCTGACAGCGTGCGGCCGTCTTCCAACTGCTTGCCTGCGAAGATCAGGCGTTGCTGATCGGGAGGGATACCCTCCTTATCTTGGATCTTCGCCTTCACGTTGTCGATCGTGTCTGAGGCCTCAACATCCAAGGTGATGGTCTTGCCGGTCAGCGTCTTCACGAAGATTTGCATGCCACCGCGGAGGCGCAGCACCAGGTGAAGAGTCGACTCCTTTTGGATATTGTAGTCTGACAGCGTGCGGCCGTCTTCCAACTGCTTGCCTGCGAAGATCAGGCGCTGCTGATCGGGAGGGATCCCCTCCTTATCTTGGATCTTCGCCTTCACGTTGTCGATCGTGTCTGAGGCCTCAACATCCAAGGTGATGGTCTTGCCGGTCAGCGTCTTCACGAAGATTTGCATGCCACCGCGGAGGCGCAGCACCAGGTGAAGAGTCGACTCCTTTTGGATGTTGTAGTCTGACAGCGTGCGGCCGTCTTCCAACTGCTTGCCTGCGAAGATCAGGCGCTGCTGATCCGGAGGGATACCCTCCTTATCTTGGATCTTTGCCTTCACGTTGTCGATCGTGTCTGAGGCCTCAACATCCAAGGTGATGGTCTTGCCGGTCAGCGTCTTCACGAAGATTTGCATGCCACCGCGGAGGCGCAGCACCAGGTGAAGAGTCGACTCCTTTTGGATGTTGTAGTCTGACAGCGTGCGGCCGTCTTCCAACTGCTTGCCTGCGAAGATCAGGCGCTGCTGATCGGGAGGGATCCCCTCCTTATCTTGGATCTTCGCCTTCACGTTGTCGATCGTGTCTGAGGCCTCAACATCCAAGGTGATGGTCTTGCCGGTCAGCGTCTTCACGAAGATTTGCATGCCACCGCGGAGGCGCAGCACCAGGTGAAGAGTCGACTCCTTTTGGATGTTGTAGTCTGACAGCGTGCGGCCGTCTTCCAACTGCTTGCCTGCGAAGATCAGGCGCTGCTGATCGGGAGGGATACCCTCCTTATCTTGGATCTTCGCCTTCACGTTGTCGATCGTGTCTGAGGCCTCAACATCCAAGGTGATGGTCTTGCCGGTCAGCGTCTTCACGAAGATCTGCATGCCACCGCGGAGGCGCAGCACCAGGTGAAGAGTCGACTCTTTTTGGATGTTGTAGTCTGACAGCGTGCGGCCGTCTTCTAACTGCTTGCCTGCGAAGATCAGGCGCTGCTGATCCGGAGGGATACCCTCCTTATCTTGGATCTTCGCCTTCACGTTGTCGATCGTGTCTGAGGCCTCAACATCCAAGGTGATGGTCTTGCCGGTCAGCGTCTTCACGAAGATCTGCATTGCTGCTGCAAGTTGCGAATTGACGATATCTAGATGTGCTTGCTTTGGACAAGCGGTTGTGCTCTCACTTGTGCCAACGTGCGGAAGTACACACTTGCAGCGCAATGGGGAACACAAAATCGTTCATCTGACCAGGGCACCTTACTTTGCAACTTTAAACTCTAGTCACTCTAGTCATCTAATCCCTGCACGACACACTCGGCTTAACGGGCCGTGTCGTCGCTGTTTCAAACTCGCTTAAAGGACCGGCAGGATATCTTCTGAAACCTTTTCAACCTGCATGAAAGATCTCTTTATGCCCTGGACGGATCCCTAAGCCTTACTGATTAAGATGGACGGCTAAGGGAAAACATCTCACCCACATTCGCTCCTAAGCCCTAAACGCCCTGTAGGCCCTAGAAGCCCTAGAAGCCCTAGATGCCCAAAACCCCATTCAAAGGGTCTGCAAGCTGGGCTGCCCTTCTGAAGCCCCCGACGCCCTGAACAGGAAGCTCCCGGGAGCCCCCCCCCACCAGGATGGGCCATCAGAACCCCGAAGCCCTGAAAACCCTACATACGCCCTATATGAACCTTACATAAGCCCTATATAAGCCATATTTAAACCCTATATATGCCCTGAAAAAAATAAACCCTCCGATTCCGTCATAGGGGTTGCTTGTGAGAGGTCGAAGGCCTCTAGCCCATCCCAAACCCTAAACCCTAAACCCTAAACCCTAAACCCTGTAACACCCTGGGGCCTCCTTGATGCTGACCTCCGGATTGGCGAGGTTCCAGCGCCATATGAGGTTCACAGTTTTCCAGACCGTCCTGGGTTCCGGATTGCAGGCTTGTACGGGGCTTAACATGGTTTAACCCTAAACCCTAAACCGTAAACCCTAAACCCTAAACCCTTTACTGTTGAGCTTAGGATTTTGTTCCGAAAGTTTAGAGAGTTCGAGAAGATGGAGGCGCCGCTTACCCCTTTCCACTTCTCAGAGCCCAGCATTCAACGAAGGGGAACCCACTTTGCGTCACAGGGAAACCTTGACGGCCCCTACACCCTAAACCCTAAACCCTAAACCCTCACAGGCGGTTGAAAAAGAGGAGCCAGGCCTTAGTGGCCTCAACCAGTAAAACCTCCTCTATTTCTCCCTAAGTGCAGTGGTGAAGTCTCGTGGTACTCGCTTCGGGAGACGGTGTGATCAAGAGCCAAGCAGTCTAAGCTGAAGCTGAGAGAGGCTCGGCTATCTGAAGCCCCAAACAGACAGAAGACGTGTCCTAAACGCCAAACCCTCGGGTCCTCGTGCCCATGATGCACATGATCAGCTGCGCAATAGCGTAGACATTTCCTGAGCTTCCCAAGTCAAGTTTAATGGTGCCGTGCCTACCCCGAGGATCTCCGTTGACTCACTTGTGGGGCTTGCGGAATTCGAAGCAGTGAGGTACATGAACTTCGAATACAGGACCGGCTTCGCGTTCCTATGCTGCTACACGCCAGCGGGCGCACTCTACAGCGAAGATGAGCTGAAGGCGATATTGGTGGCGAGGGGCTTGGGTGGGCTTGGATGTCCCTAAACCCTAAACCCTAAACCCTAAACCCTAAACCCCAGACCTTCAGGAAGTTGAGGGGCTTTGTGGTCGAGGCGCTTCGGGCTCAGGGGTATGGAGGTGGAGGTGTGGGGAAGCTTAGGGATTCGAACCCCGAAGCTCCAAAGTATGCCAAATCCTAAACCCTAAACCCTAAACCTAAACCCTAAACTCAGTAAGTGCAAAGTCTTACATCCCAAATTCACGCGCCACAGAATTCTGCACTCTCAACTCTAAAAAACACTTTCGGCGGCAAGACCACGTACCCGTATCCCGACTAGCTACATAGACCCTGCAAACCCTAAACTTCCACAGCAAGTGCAGGCCCTGCGGCGGCCACCATAGTCCACCAGGAAGCGGCCTACAATGGGACCTTTGAGGTCTTGGGATGAGTTTCAAGGCCACTTAAGGTTGAAGGCCTCTTTGTCAGGGCTTGAAGTTTCAGGTCCAGGGTGCCGCTGTTGCCGCGTGCAAGGTGCGAGGGGGGTTCGGTGTGGGGCTTGGGATTTGATTTTTGGTTTAAGGGCTCGAAGCTTAATCGGGATACATAAGATACAGCATACATACGTATTATGTACATATATATATATACATACGTATACAGCTCGGGTTTTTCAATAAGAACCTGACCAACATCAAGACCTGCCCAAATGCTGGATGCTCCAGGCCCTCGGTCTGCTTCACCGGAATCGGACACACAGCCCGGAGCACTCCCTCCTCCAAAAACAAGGGGGCCCCGTATTTGGTGGATATTCAAGCTTAGGCCATTTATCGCCATCTGCACCCTGATGCCCACCACTCAAACCTCGAGGTCCCTCCCCCCCCCAAACCTGTGTAAGTCGCACCAAGCTGAACTATTCTATCCTTTTATGTTACCGTTGGCAAGGTAGGGAAAGCAGCAATGGGGCATTATTGAAAGTGCTACCATAACCCGAGACCCTGAACCCTAAACCCTCAAATTGCTATTCCAACCCTAAACCCTAAATCCTAAACCCTAAATCCTAAACCCTAAACTCTAAACATTCTACTTACCACCCTTTCAGCGCCAAGATTCCCATAAACCGACTCACGGTCACCTGGGAGCCGCAAGAGTCTGAGGGGTCCAAGGCTTCAGATGCTTCGGGGGTCTGCGGGGGCTTGGGGGGGTTCTGAGAGTTGAGTTAGGGTTTGAGGGTTTAGGGTTTCGGGTTAGGGATTTTAGGGTTCAGGGTTCAGGGTTTCGGGTTTAGGATTGAGGGTTTAGGGGCTTTGAGGGTTTAGGGGCTTTGAGGTTATTTGTTTTAGACTTTGAGAGGGTTACGACACGACCTGGGTCCGAAACCCTGCAACCCGCTGGATCTTGAAGCGCAAGCCCTGAACCCTCCCGTCGAGTCGAAACCAAGATCTCAGATCCCTTGCATGTGCGGGAAACGTGCTGCAGCCACCGGATCCTCAGCGTTGATATCGTGCGGGCATGGATGCTCTGGCCCACCGGATGCTCTGCATGGCACGTTATTATCGTGTGAGCAAGGATGCTCTGGGCAAGGGATGCACTGGTATTCTTGTCCTGCGCATGGATGCTCTGGGCAGTACAGTTTAGAGTACGCTGCAACATGTAAGATGCTTGAAATGCAGGAAAACGCACATGCACGACGGATTTGCGTACCCAAGTCCGTCCAAGAAACGGTTCAGGCAGGCAAAGCAGATTCCAGAAGGAACAAGCTGAACATGCCAAAAAAAAACAATACAAAACCATGGCAACATAATTGACTACGTAACCCAAAAAGCTGCTGCTGAAGCGCCGTCTGCTAAACCCTATAAGCCTTCCTTCCAGAGTTTAAGGTTCTGTGGCTGAAGGTTTTAGGGTTTTGGGGCATAGGATTTTGGGTTGAAGGTTCTAGGGTTTGAGGTTTTGGGGCTATAAGGTTGTAGGGCTTAAGGTGGTAGGGTTTTAGGTTCAAGGGTTTTAGGTTCTAGAGTCCTCAAAACCTCTGAGGTGGCTGCCTCTGGCTCTGGAGGGAATTCGGCCCTATGAACCCTTCAGAGGGTTACAAAAGGGTATGCAAGGCGAACTCCCCAGTTCCCTATCAAGAAGTAATAGGCCAGTCCACTTACGGCTCCTGAAGAGAAGGTCCGACCCGGACCCGGGAAGCAAACCAAAGCACTCCCTAACCAAAAGCCCGAAACCCGAAACCCCATCAAAGCACTCTTCGCCACGGTTTAGGGTTTAGGGTTTAGGGTTTAGGGTTTCGGGTTTTTATGAACCCACATGCAGGAGGCTGCAGTGTTGAATGGGCATTAGGGCAGCAAGTTCCTCATGATAAGCGAGTTCTGAGGGGGGCATACTTCGCAAATGAAGCTCCTTTACGGTTTAGGGCTCCCGTATGCAGCCACATAAACCATAAGCCTCATAACCACCACCCAGTCACGGCAGACAGCTGCCGCAATCGATACTCGGCGTTGCTGAAGCCTGGGGGGGGGGGGGGGGGGGCTGTTTAGGGCTAAGGGTCACTGCATTTTTGGGTCGATGTCATTATCATAGGGTTTGAGTTCATAGATGCCCTTCGGATTCAGGTAGTCTTAACATCTAGGCTGCGCCTAAGAACCAGGGGCTCTGAACCAACTCTAAGCAGACCATTCGGTCGCCGATTCATCACTGCTTCTCGTGGCAGAGCCCTCAACACCAGCGAGAGCCCCAAGCCCTTCACAGCTCAAGGCAAACTAAGCCCTAAACACTAAACCCTCAAACCTATTTAGGGTTTAGGGTTTAGGGTTTAGGGTTTAGGGTTTAGGGTCCCTTAGCCGTACAAGATGCAGCAACCCCAGAATTCAGAGATTCTTGGGGGGCGGGGGGGGAGGGGGGTGGGGTTCTCGAAACAAAAGGTAAGCGTTCAGGTAACCTTCTTTGTGGTGACTAGAAGGATTAGAGTGTTTTGGGGGGTATACTGGTACCCCATATGTTGTAGATGCCCAGATGAACAGATGAATACCAAGACAATCCCCTTACAACTCCTAGAAGATTTACAGTATAAACTACCCACGTTATACTCCGCGAAATCCAAAGCAGGAGCCTTGATCCCCAAAATCAACCTTTTCAAGCCCTCAGGCAGCCGGTCCGATATGGAAACCATGGCCTAGGGGACGGATTTTGGTGAAGCAACAGCTCGCCCCCCCCCCCCCCCCCATACACTCGAAACCAGATCTTCACAGGCAGTATGTGCTGTTGACATGGCACCCTTTTCCAAAAGCAGAACCCCTCAACCGTGTGGCGAGTGGCTCGTGCCCTCCCTGGCAGCGCGGCTGGCCCAGCCTTCGGCGAATCCGTTGGCCACCTGGGGACATGTCAGGCTGCAACTAGGCTTTGGGTTTAAGTAGGCTTCGGGCTTTGGGCCCGGCTTTTTCCTTGGGCTCGCAAGTAGTTCAAGACCCGACTAGTGCACAGGAACTCGATCGGTCGGTCGCGAGCACGTAGATATCTTGTCTTCCTCATTGAACCAACACCGCTGTTGGTTCGGCCCCCACATTCTGAGCCAGCGACAGTGGCACCAGTGTAGATCACGCAATCCGCGATGAGGAGCGTCCAGCCAGGAGTTGGAACTGAACAGGGCAGGTTGGGACTGCATCCTAGCGCGAAATCGGAATCCGGCTCAAGAGATGGAAGATGCAAAACGAAGCCCTCCAGTAGAGCCTGAGCCAAATCCCGAGCCTACATATTCAGAACAGCTGCAGGAAAGAGAGGCGTCAACCCAGATCCAAGTAATCACAATCGGGGCACACCCTGGCCCCCAGAAATCCGGTCTAAACCCTAAACCCTAAACCCTAAACCCTAAACCCTCTCCCCTAAACCCTAAACCCTGAACCCTACACCTTAAACCCTAAGCAGTCGGGCCTATCTCCAAGAGGAAGAGGCAGCCGATGATGGAGGAGGCCGCGGAGATGATGAACACGTTGGACTCCTCATTTGGGGTTTGGGGTTTAGGGTTTAGGGTTTAGCATGGAAAGACCTTTAGTTGAAGAAGGCAATACCACAACTGAAGACTGAGACAACCACATCAACAGGCACCCGAACCAAGGCCATTACTCGCTAATTCAGGAGCCTAAATCATACCTGTATAGTTGTGCCAACTTAGAAACCACCACAATTCCCCATTCTTGGCATCCTCTAAAGTATGATTCTTGAATATTCTTCTTGTGAGTGTGCAAAACACTCGGTTTCACCTTGCGTTACAACAACTCCCCAATTCTAATTAAACCTTGCCGAGCGGGCTTGGTTTGTAGGCAGAGGGCTTTGTCACAAGCTTGGGGTATACACGGGATACCCCCCTCCACCCCCTCCCTCCCAGGTCCCATTTTGGGGAACTTCTAATGGTTCAGGGTGATTGCCCCAAATTGGGCCAGCACTTCATGTGTCTCTTGTCACATCAGCATGCGGAAATTCACTGCCTTGTCAGTCAAGATGTCTACATCGTCGTTACAGCCATGGCGCCATCTGCTCACCATCTTTAGCTACGATGGCCCTGTAAGCCCTCTGAAAGATGCTCCTAAGAAGGATCCTCTTGGGCCCGAGGAGGGAAAATATCAAGGGCCTACCGAATTAGGGCTTGGGCGGATTTGGGGCTTTGGGAGAATTGGGTTCAGGATTTGAAGGGTTGAGGGCTTCTATGCCCACCCCAAAACCGTGAGCCCCGAACCTACATCCTCAACTCTTCAGCCCCTCTGCAGCCCCTTACGCCTTCGACTTCTTCCGGCAGCCACTTTCAAGGGTGAAGATCGCTCCAACAGACGGAAGACGGTGCTTAAACGATCATGACTCCCAGAAAGCAACTCAAAAACCAGAGTTTCGAAGACTAGCGGAGTGCACAGGCTAGAGGGCGATCATGATCATCTTCTTGTTTAGTTAGTCTTTGTGATTATTGTGTAATGACTATGATTATAATAATGGCCCCCACAAGAAGGAAGAATACGCAACGCTACTAGTCCATGTTGTCTGTTTGTTGCAAAACGGTTGTTATTTTAACTAGGATTCTTCTTCTTCTTGAACACCTTATATTCCTATATTCCTAGTGCTTTTGCCGCCGTTTCTCTGAACCTGAACCTTTTCAGGGCTTGCAGAAGTCCAGGTGTCCTTGCACCAGCCCTTGACCACGGCCACCTGTGAAGGTGCAGGGCTCAGGGTTCAGGCTCAGCACCGACGTGAGACTGCTCCAACTTAAAGCCGCCAACCCGAACCGACTTAGGGGTCCTCCGAAAATAGGGGTTCGCTTTGTGGGGGGTTCGTTTGAGGGGATTCTATTTCATTTGCGGTATCCCACTCTTTTCGACCCCCCACAGGCTTTAGGGCTTAGGCCATGAAGACTCGTGCGTATGCCCGCATTATGCAAAACCCAGAGGAACAAGCCCATCTTTTGATGTAGAGCTTCTCCTACGAGTCCAATCACAGACCGTCCTCCGCAACCTTTCATTAGTATGGTATAACCTAACCAAGTGAGTAGACGTCAAGCATTATTATTTGTTTTGCTGCAACTCTCCCACTCTGCTCAGTCTACATGCAGGCACCACAATATGGGTGGTATGCCTGATACATCTTTAAACTCATGCAAATACCTCCTAAAGCCTGGGATTGTCAATGAGGGGACTCTTCCGGTCTCTGGTGGAGGTCTTTAGGTGAGCACTCCTAATAACACCCCCCTTCCGAGCCCACCAATTCCATGTTGGTTCCTTGGGTTGGGGGCCGTCAGTTGAAACATAGGTATAGGGCTTCAGCTAGGGTTGAGAACCCTAAAACCCTAAACCTTAGGATGGCTCTTAGAAGGGGAAATAGAGGGAGTTCAGGATTCTGCTTAGTCTCCTTGCAAGGCGAGGCACTGTGGTGCCCAAGGACATGACGATGCCCAGGGAGCAAACTGCGGTGAAGCAAATGCCTCATCATCTCGGGCTTGGGGTTTAGGGTTTAGGGTTTAGGGTTTAGGGTTTAGGGTTTAGGGTTTAGGGTTTAAGGTTTAGGGTTTAGGGTTTAGGGTTTAGGGCTTAGGGTTCAGGGCTTCGGGGCCAAGGAGAAATCTACAAACCTGCCGAACTGTGAATTCGAGTGTGTGGCTTGCACAAGCCTTGTCAAGAACTAGGTACCAAAGGCTTGCTCTTTACGCCCATCAGCCCCACCAAAGGCCCGATGCAACCTGGGGACAAACGACCAGAACCAACAAACACGCAAGCACACCCCGAAACCCTAAACCTTAAACCCCTAGACCCTAAACTAGGCAACCCAAAGCCCAGAAACACGGAACTCGAAATGCAATGCAGGGCGCCGGTCATGTAGGGATCCCAGCCTCGTGATTTGATTCAGGGCTTTGGGGCTTTGAGTAAGCTTGGCCCAGTTCTTTCGAAAGATGGCCCCCGAAAATAATACAAATACAGGATATGCAGCAGAGCCCAGAATGTTGTAGTTCTTAGACCATGGGTTTCGCGTTTAGGCCACCAGAAAAACCAGGCGAGCCATGACCACAGTGTAGAGCCGTCAGGTACAGGTAGCTTTTGAACTGTCACCGGGAGAAAGGCCCCCAGAAAGTCTTTAAACCCGAAAACCCTCAAAAGTCCCAAAGCCCCAGACCACATGCTCCCAACCTACACCTTCGTAGACTCTGTGTCTGTAACGGAACCCCTGAGCCCCCACAACCCTATGATCCCTAAACCTCTTCAATACACCCTCCTGACTATAGCCTCTCTGACATACGTGTTACTGCCATTCATATTGTCATGTCAAGTACCCGAAATGACCGTTGTAGTTTATTAGGCACCTATACCGGGAACATTCGGGAAGCCTATATGTTGCTATTATTTGTATTACTAGTATCAGTATGATGCTTAGGTGGTTCCTATTTCGTACGGACGCCACAGCATTCAGTGCAAGCGGCCGTAGTAGACCTCCAGCATCATGAGTGTGGAGACTTCCACGGCTGCCAGGGTAAAGGGCCGCTCCTCGCAGAAAAATCGGTGGGCTTCGCGTGTTTGGATGGTGTGGACTTGGAGGGGAGTTTAGGACCCTCTGGGACTTGTTGCTTCTTTGGCTTCTCAAGGATCTGGGAGTTTGGGCACGGGAGGGTTGGGTTTGGGCTTCTAACATATAAGACACGATAAGATGAGATAATATAACATAGATTTGTATATTTTATATATACAGATTGAGACAAATAGCATCTATATCGTTATCGATAGATATGTTTTTTAGATATTCCGGTATGTGTTCGCGTGTGACTTTACGGTATTGGGTTGCGATCTGTGCAGGGCTTCAGCTCAGGCACGAAGGCGTACCAGATCATGTTCCAGACCACGCGCTCGCGCTCGGGGTCGGGCATGGCCTCGCAGGGCAAAAACACCGATTGCCCTAAACCCTAAACCAGTAAGCCCCAATCTCCGCGTTCAGATTACGTCTCTGTGGTTGACGCACCCCAGCCCCCAACGTCCGCCTGAAAGGCCTTGACTGAAATCCTCAGCCCTTTCCAGGAGCTCTCGGGGAAGTAGATTCAAAGCTCAGAGGTTCATGGTATAGGGGGGGTGCACTTAAGGGCGCAGGATTCGGAAGCCCCTGATGCAGGTGTTTTTCGGGAGTGCTCCGCACCTCCAGGTGAGCATCAGAGCGCATGACCTGGAATCTACATGCTTCGTGGCTGGTTGAAAATAGGCAGTTACCCTTGCTTATTATGAAAAAAGGACAAAGATGAGGGCCCGGGGCAAGCGAATGGTTGTAGCAGACACAACGATGACACCGTCAGTGTCGTTTAGAATGCCGATGACTAAGCTGGTCTCATGACCAAGCAGTACCAAGCACTCCGCCAGTACTGTAGGCTTGCGGATGAGTAGAAGCATTGTGGCAGTCATGCCTTCTGCACTGCACTACTTGAAGGTTTTCAAGGTGCTTGAATGTAGAAAGTACGCTTATACATACCGTCTTCCGATGTGGCGCTAAAAACACTTGCAGTTACCCTACCTACAGCCCCCAAAACGACAGTACCCATGAATCTCGAATCATAGTTTGCGCACTTGCTCCCCTCGTGCTTCAAATCGGATACGCGAGCAGGCAAATTTTCTTGCCCAGGCAAGACAAACCTGCGTACTTGTAAGCATCTGACGTACGTGTCACCATGATCGATATCACCCGCGCAAGGGAAGCTGATGTCCCGGAAGTGCTACGGAGACTGCCCGCAAGTGGTGCTTAGAAGCTCTCTCGTTGTCGGCCTCTGCTTTCGGCCTCAACATGTCCGAACCTTCACCCGCAAAAATCGCCTTGAACCACCAAACCCTCAAAACCATTTAGCAGTGACAAGACAAACAAGCTTTCGGAGCGAATGATGCGCAATGATGAGGCCTTCAAGTACAGGTGCTGAAATTGACGGGTAGGTCCCAAACACCTCGATTTCAGGAGCCTGAAACCCCCAAACATCGGACATGGCTTTTGGAAGTTTGCACCCGCTCAGCCCGGCGGCCATCTCGTCTGGGTCATCCTGGGAGCGAAAGGTCTCAAAAGGAGGCTTTAGTGCTCCGGTTTGGGGTTTAGGGTGCCTTTCGAGGGGCCGGCAACTGGATCCAACACGGTCGGTTTGGGCCTCGGACTGTGACTTTTACTGTCCTTATATCATGATAATACAAATATATATATATATATATATATTTATGCACATATACTTATATACATAATGTATATATATATATATGTGTGTATATAATCTTATATGCTTATTTTCTTATATTCTTATATTCTTATATCAATATTCTAGTATATGCATACGTGATCATATCATTAGGACCTTGAGCTCAGGCGCCTCGTCTTCTTGCAGGTTCAAGTCGTAGTCTGGCATCCTCGCCGGCATGACAAAGGCGCCGAAGGAGGCGGAGATGAGGGAGAAGACCAAGAGCAGCCTCTTCTTCCAAGGGGGTCGGGGTTTGGCGTTGCGACTTCCTAACAGGAGCAGCCTCTTCTTTCATACAGGGATCGGGGTTGAGGTCTGCTTCCTTGCTCCTAAGGAGGTGAAGCTTCTCCGTTCGGGTTTCGGGTTTAGCGCTTAGGGTGGTAGATGGTTGCCTACTGTGCAGCATGGTTTACCGTCTCGGATTGACGCTTGACGGTGCAATTGTGGGTGTGTGTGTGTGTGTGTTCATGGCGCTCCCCCCCCTTTCGAACGAGTAGAACAAGCAGCAGCTAAGCGCGTCTGAAGTCTTTGATAAACTAAAACTGGACAGCACCGAAAACTCTGTGTTCCGACCATCGCGGGGATGCCGGCAAGTGACAGGTTCACCCATCCCATCATGCTCCTGGGGCACACCTAGGCCAGCACACAAGGTCGTGGACCTTATGCACGTCCACTGCACAAAGCCTTGAAGAAACTCTACCCCACATCCAAAACTTGCTAGGCTTACGCGCTTGAGGATTCAAAGGGCTAGGGGTTTTACGGGACAGTTGAGAGCTTCTGGGCTTGCGGGGTTCGGGTTTAAGTGAGAGGCCATTGTCGGGAACACCCTGCGACCACCTTTAGTCCAAACTCCGATGTGGGGGTTGTTCGTCTCAAAGTATTGGACAATGGGGTAAGAGTCCCGTAGAAGGGGAATCCTCGCAAAGGGAACCTACCCCACGGTAATTTTTAGGGGACAAGCATGTTGAACAAGTACCATGTGCGGTTGACGGCTTGTGGGTCTCGACCTTGATCTACACACACCCTGTCTGGAGACTCCAAGGCCTGCTATGTTCGTCTCTTTTGTGAACCCTAAACTATTGACATTTCATGAGGCATTTTTAACCACCCACTGCAAGAGCAGGTCCGGGGGTTCTGAAGATTTCTGAAGGAAGCCCCTACTAAATGAGAGAGCTAGGCACCCTCTACCCCTCCAAGCTTACATCCGCAGAGCAAAGCCCAAACCCCGAACCCGGACCCCCAATTCCCTTGCAAGAACCCGTACAGCCGCGGTTCCCTCTCGCCACCGCCCGTCACGAGCGTGCGCATGATGGCGAAGAGCCCAGGCCCAACTACAAGGCCAAGATTGCGGGAGCACTGCGTCAGAATCCTCCCGGGGTGGCTGAGGGGCTTCTAGGGTTGAGCGTTTCCACTCATAGGTCTTGGGGCTTAGTACGTGTTCTGCAAAACCCTCAAAGCCCCCGAGCCCGCCCCTAAACCCACCCAACCCCCTAGATCCGCCTAAGCCCACGTCAACGACTAAATTTCCCAAAAGATCTTTAAATCACTTCTGCTTCGGCCACCGCGAGCAGACCTTAGCCTCCATCCCCATTTGCGCTTGGCACCGCAAAACTCAAAAACCCTGTGAGCCTAAACCACATTCTACAAGCCCTCGAAGCCCTGCAAAAAAAAAACCAACGCTATCCTAACAGCCTAACCCCTAAACCCGAAAGCTTCGGATGCTGCTAGGACCCAGCCGGGCCCCTGGTCTTGGGAGTCAAGGGGCTTCTGGTTATCGTTCGGGGTTTGGGCTTTTGGAGATCTAGGGCGAGGGGCTTCAGGGAATTTAGGGCGCAAGGCTGCAAACCCTAAACCCGAAGCCCTAAGCCCCAAGCCCCAAACCCTAAACCCTAACCTGTGCGGGGGGCGGGGTGGGGGGGGGTTCGGACTTGAGGCGCTCTGGTGCTTGGGGCATGCTGTAAACCTTATAAACCCCTAACTACAGGCCTGAAGCCTTCGTTACTTTGCGGAGGGAGTTTGGGTTGACAGCACTAAGGCCAGTCGGGCAGCATCCAGAAAGTTCGATTCTTGGATTTGGTGATCTTCCTCAGATGTCTGATGTCCAGGGCTTGGCATTTTGGGGTTTGAGGCTCTACAGCGCTTTGCAGGCACACTAGACCTTCTGTCGGGGGGCCTTGCTTGCGTTGCGTGGCACTAGCGGCCCACGTTCAAGCAGGTTTCGTTGGCCTGTGGTTCTGGGGTCTCTAAATCCCCAAAAAACCCAGAGTGCAAAAGATGTAGGGCGTGCTGAGAAGTTTGGCTTTGTCAGTTTGAGGGGGACGCCGCTTTGGGCAGGGTGGGTGGGTAAACGACTTGAGTCTAACACCATAAAAGCCTCTTAACCGAAGCCCCCCTTGCCGGAGCCTCTACCCTGAACCCTGAATCACCAGAGCCAAGGGTCGTCCAGAAGATGATACCCGGAATCACCGACAGTGGCCCAATAAAGGACCCGGCCACTGTAAAGCCGATCATCACCCACCTGAGAAGGGAGGCTCAATCTTGGACCCTCAAGCAACCAACCCCACCCCAACCCCCGGCCGCCCCGGCTTGAGGGTTTGGGGTTCTGGGCTTCGAAACCTAGGCCCCATAGGCCCCCCGAAAAACCCAAACTCTTGCCTGCAGCCCCCACATAACGATTATAAGCACACTCACTTACAACAGAAAAAACTGCATGAAAAAAAGGGGAAGCCACAACAGAAAACTCAAAACAAAACCAACTGGCACCGAAAAAACACACATGTTGGTAGGTTCAGCATA